GTGGTGGGAAGGAGAAATTTGCTTTGATCTTTGATGGGACCTCAGCAAATCTCGGCAATAATCAAAAATATCAAAAATATTTTTAAGGTGTTTTCTATGAGGCCCCGGGAAGCTCACACAAAGGTCTGACTGAAGTTTTGTGATTTCCTTGTGTGTTATATTGCTGAGCCAAGAGGGATAGAATATCTGATCATATAACCAGAGCTGGGCTAAGCCGTGAACCGGTGAAAGGTCTTCGCTTGTGCACGGGTGGAATGGGAAAAATGCTTGCTAAGGTAAGATAGATGAACTATATCTTCAACTAATACCAAAACTAACACCAAAATACTCTCAACCACTGGTCACTTCTGTGATGAACGGGTTTGTTCAGGGGTGGAAGCCAAGTATTAGGCTTATATAGATCAAGTTGTTCAAATAGTTCAAAATTGCGCAAGTTGTTCAGACAGCTCAACTTCTATTTTGAAAGAGTTACACGGTCTAGTTGGCTACTGGTTTGTGCACTTTTAGGTTTTTTCTCAAAAGCGGGAGTATGAGTGGTAATGGTTGGTTAAACCGGTGTGGGTGTTTTGTTCTATGGAGGAACTTGGATGCAACAGCAGACTTTTGGTCTTTTGTGCATGTGGGTCAAATCGGTCAAGTCAATTCAGTCGAGTCGAGTCAAATCGGTCGGTCAGGTCAAGTCAAGTCAATCAAGTCAATCAAGTCAGGTCAAGTCCAATCGTTCAAGTCAAATCGAGTCTATCAATCAATCAATTCAGGAATACAAGCGCGTAGTAGCAACTAGTTTGTCCGTGAACACAAAACTCCAGAACCAATGGCAGGTTTGCCAATGTCCCAGGGGAATCTGCTACCTAACTATCCTACTCTACTGTGTTTTTATACATGGTTCAGAAACATATGACTAAGGAAATACTATGAGTCCATTCGGGTATCTATCCGAGCTCTGCAGCTCCTACTATTTTGGTTCTTCTTCCAATTGGTTGGTCGGGTGGCTTCCGAGGTCCACGTGAAATGGTGTAATGTTTTGTATAAGTTGGGTGTGTTCAGAATCCTTCTGCCTCTCAGTCTTCTTCAACTGTTTGCCTCCAGCCTACCTAGAGCGCGCACTGGCATGTTAGCCCTTCTACAGTTGCGGCGGAATCAATTTACTTTCCTTTTTAGGGAATTGCGATCAATTTCAACCTGAAAGGTGTAAATTGGCATGTTTTTTATGCGAGAAACCTCTGGCTGAGGTTTTGGGAGCCTAATCTACCCTCTGGGGCACAGAAATCCCGAGTGAATTGAAGCTGACCAGCATTTTACCACCATAGCCATAGAATGATTTGCCCTAAGATCAGTGCAAAGAGATTGGTTTCCTGTCGTATAATTCATACATGCTGATTGTATACCTCCCCTTCACCTCTGATAATTTTCTCCCAATTTTAGCACCCAAGCACAGCGCACACAGCGGGAATTGATCGCAATTCCCTAAAAAGGCAAGTAAATTGATTCCGCCGCAACTGTAGTTTGTGAACTAGGCAGGATACTGGTAGTGCCATTGTACATAGTCGCACTTTGGCCTTTGGTTCAACTTTCCGGATCACTCCGGCATCTCTTTTGATCGTACTGATCGAAGGGTTGAGCTTCCCCAAATAGTTTGGTTGGCTATTGTTATATCCGAGCCGAGGGGGTTAGGATATGGGCCAACCGAACGATCAGACACCTTCCGAACCGGAGCTGAGGGCTGGACAGAATGGAACCAGAGACTGGGGTTGAATGATGAAGATCGGCGGGCTGGATGACACAACGCGACAGGTCATGCGCGAGCGTACTGCCTTAGTCTTCGGAGATAGACAGAGGGATGAAAGGAGAGGTCTGGACTAGAGGTGTGATGGGTCCGGGCTCCGGATCGGAGTGATCAGAGCGTCAGAGTGCGGAGCGCCGGAGTGACGGAGCGCGGGGCACAGAGAACTGGGGGACCGGAGTAGCGCTACACAACAGGGAGACGTAGTGTGAGCATACTTCCCTTCGTCCGGATGGACAGGAGTAAGCGGGTGAGGTCCGCAGTGAGTTCCGGACAGAGACTCAGATTACTTCACGAGGAACGAGGTGAAGCAACGTGAAGCAACTTTAATAATCAAACTGATTTACAGGGAGTAGACTAAGAGGTTAAATAGTAAACAGGCTAATTGTAATGCACAAAGGAGATAGGTGGTGAAGCATGTGGATTTAACAATAAAGGTGAGTAGAAGATGTGGACGCAACAATAAAGCTGAGTACCAAAAGGAGAGGAAGAAGTCATGTGACAGATAAGAAGTACTGGAACAATAAGTAAGAAGACAGGAACATGTCGGACCATTGGTAAAGAGTTGGATGGTGCCATAGCACGGAATCCAAACCCGCGTGGTTACTCCTGACAGCTCCGTGATGCGGAGCGGAGCGTGACCGGAGACGGAGTGTGACCAGAGTGTGACAGCAGGATCGGAGTGCGAGTCCCATGCGTGAGATATCACAGGAGACACAGGACACGGTGTATGGTGTGCAATCCGACTCGGAATGATGTTTGGGACGAATTGGGTAATCCGGAGTCGGAGTTCAACCGGAGTGATTGGTCAGCTCGGAGCGAGGTCCGAAGCAGGTCCGAAGCATCAATGCATGGATGTGCTGAGTCCTATGATACTCCGAAAACTCGGAAGTGAATCTCGGAACGGAGTCATTGGGCCGCACTCGGACCTTCGTCTGAGTTATCCGTGCATGGAAGTAACAGCTATCCGAGATGGAGGCCAAGCCGTGCCTTGGTTTGGTTGGCTTTCCGAGTTCAATCACATGCTCCAAAATGTAGACACCGTACCTCAGTTGGTTTTCCGGGTTGGAGGAACACTTTAAGCCTCGGCACTGCACCGTGTCACGTGGTAGTTCACTTCACATCCAAAGTCGAAACAGCCGCAAGCAGATAGTTGAGCGTGTTTGGATCAGAACTTGAAGTCTTGGTACTGGTATAGTTCATTTTACTCCCCCCCGTAGTAGGTGGTCTGGCTGACACTTTGGCCTTTCCAGATCTTATTACATATCTGTCTAGTTAGTGTACTTGGTGTTCAGCGACTCAACTATTAGTGGTACTCCCTGCCCATAGAACAGTTTGCACATAACAGGGTCTGCCTAGCCATCTGGACCATTTAGTCGGACTTGTGTGAGGTCACAAACCACTCTATATGATAGCTCGCCGGCCAAATAGTTTGCGTTAAATGAAAAGATTTGCCTCTTTTCACACGCAGTCATTTTCACGGCCCAACCTACCCGAAAATAAAACTTTTTTTGCACGATTGAGCTGGACATTATTTTTGCAAATTGCAATAAACCAGGTATCTGACCACTCCGGAAGAAATTTTTCGTCCTCAAGGTCAAGATAATTTCCCTTGTTGTCATGTGAAGGAGGCTGGTGGCAACGAGGATGCACACAATGACACTTCCATTGATCCTGTGAGGCGGCTGCTTCATTCATGGCCTCTCGCAAGACAGTAGTCGTTATTGGGTAGCATAAGCGCCATGGGCACTTAGGCACAAAGGCGAGTTCACTCATTAGAGGAACTCTAGCCTGTAATCCTGGCTGAGGAGCCATTTGACCCTTGGCAGGGCTCAGAATCCTGAGGTGGGAGCAGTTATATGGGTGCTCAGCCAACTAGAAGTGCTTGAACGGAGTCTGTTGCATGCCCGACTCTGGCTTTGGGCTCAGGTCATGGTAGTATGCAATAAAGTGTAAATTGATGATCCACCGTCCACCAGCAAAAGTGGATCTCCCGCCCCCGAGGACAAAGTTGGGGAGCCTGAGGGGCCAACACCGCTGTCATAGTTTTCAAATGTATTGGCCTGCTTCAATTTAATTATGAATTTACCAATCATGCACATTATTTTCACGTCGTTTTGAGCCGATTAATTGTTCGGAAAATGACTACTTGAAATTATGAGGAACAATAAAACAGCAGAATTCTGTATTCTACTGCACCCTGAAGGGGAATGCCACTTGGTCCTTGCCCCAGCAAGTGAAACAGGTTGCCACCTTCGATTGGGCCAGGATGCCGAGCATTCCTCGAAAGCCACATACACCTGACGTGATTGCCAATCAGCAGCCATTGTTCGACCTGATCGACAGACTACGGAGATGCTGGACAATGGGCGGAGCTGGCCCATTATGGTACGATACAATATGAAGTCTGGTGGCCACCTGCTGGGCAGCCCACATCCAGCTTGACCATCCATGCGTCTGAGGTGTGAGTTTCAGCCGGCTGCAACCTGGGGAAATTTTGTCGGTGTACACATCCTCGCTTCTGAGCAAAAACCCAAAAGTGCACAAACCAGTAGCCAACTATTGCTCCTTTGAACTAGAAGTTGAGCTGTCAAACCAAACTTGCGCAATCTTGAACTATTTAAACAACTTGATCTATATAAGCCTAATATTTGGCTTCCACCCCCGATATATTCCATCTATCTCGCCTTAGCGAGCATTTTCCCATCCCACCCGTGCACGTAGTGCAGACCTTTCATCGGCATCTTGAGGTTACAAAGGTTACATTGAAGGTACCGAAACCGTGCTAGCTAACCCTAGTTCCCTCTCTGCGCTATAGGTGTGGCATGATTTTTTCAAGCCCACATGATGACCCCTGTCCAAAAGTGGCTTTTTGAGGCCGCCAGACAGGAAAAAAGTTGGCTTTTTAGAGGCCGATTCTGCCAATTTTTTCCGGACAGACAGACCTTGGTGTGAGCTTCCCGGGGCCTTTTCTATGCAAATTGAGGCTATAGAACGAAATCCAAAATTTGGTCTTGAAAAAAAAATCTCGAGCAAGTCGAGCCCCCCCCCCCCCCCTCCCAAAAAGGAAATTGCTTGTCTTCAAACCCCCTTGATCAATTCTGTGCTTACCCAAAATGTACCCAGCGAGGCCTCACTGGATGTCGGTTCAAATCCACACCAAATTTGATTGCACCTATTTTACTTGGCCTATAATCCAACCCCGATGGCTCATCATGCCCTTATATCTTAGTGGTTAGCACCCTCCGAGTCTCGAGGAGGAAGACGCGGGTTCGACTCCCGCCGAGGGCATGTCCCAGGCCATCTGTTTTTCCTTTTTCTCTTTTCGGCTCCCTTGCATTGTAGTAGTACTTGGCCCTCTTTTGATTTTTTCTTTTTTTTCCTTGCTGAGTTTTTCCCCAAGTCATAGACTCTGATTCTATCTATCCCACACTTCCTGCCAATTGTTCTACATTCACTAATTGATCTGATTCTACTTGCCGTAGTACCAGCTAAACATATTTGAAGCCCTCTGTCATGCCCTTGTACCTCAGTGGTTAGATGCATCTTCTTAAAATGTCGTAGACCTCTACAGCTCGGAAGAAGCCGCGGGTTCGACTCCCGCCGAGGGCGTAGTCGATAGAGGCATTTGTTTTGTCTTCAATTTCTTTTTCAAGCCATTAGGCTCAGATCTATAGTATTTTATCTTAAACTACCACCATGACACCCTTTCTGTCCGTTTGAACCATGGTGTGGACTGGATCTCATTCTACTCTGAGTCTGCTTAATATAATTTAGCAGACGCTCTGGTGGATCAGTGTTAGATCATCCTCTCAATGTAAAATTGGGTCTTCGCTGTTCGGAGGAAGACGCGGGTTCGACTCCCGCCGGGGGCATGGCTCGAGGGAGTCGCTTTCCCCCCCCCCTCCCTTCCAACACTGTGTGTGCCAGTGTTTAAATTATTGATTCTCGTTGGACAAGACTAATAGTCAACTAATAGTTAGTTGTCCAGCACTTACAAGTGATCTGCGCTTGATCTTATTCCTGGTACCATAACCAGGTCTCAAACACAAGCAAAAGTGGTCCCCGATCATGACATCTAAAACTATTTTCAAAAAATAATCAATAAACTAAACTGATTTCCCTGTCCTCTGATTGGTCGCCATGTGGATAGAGTTAGGGTAGGCTTAATCCCTCAATTCTTACGAGGCGAGACTGAGGCGAGTAGGCCGAGGAATGAGGCCGTGTGAGACTTGCGAGCCATGAAAAAAGGAATGAATGTTTCAAGGGATATTTGCATATGCTGCAGGGTCTGGGAAGAGGTACCAGGGATGCCCGGAGGGCCTTGATAATTTTATTTATTTTATCAGTTGCTATCAGTGGACATACTTATTAGCACACAACGATCATGCTCTCGTGGATCAGTGGTAGATCGTCCTCTTTCTATTCAGTATTCGGGGCGAATAAGCTGAAGACGTGGGTTCGAATCCCGCCAAGGGCATAGTGCAGGAGATGTCGTTCCTTTTGTCGTTCTTTTGAACAGAGCTTCTGCAGGTTAAACGTAGAGTGCGATCTCCGCTTCACTTTGAAGGATGGTTAAATCTGAGTTGTGCTGAGGACTCCGACTCTCCGAGTCGCTGAACTGTCTAAACAACAAAGGGGTTTCCTAAATTTCGGTGAGTTACTACGAAATATAAAGATCACCGGGAGTCCGAGAGAGTAGGTTGAAGGATAGAAAGCCACCACACATTACGCCCTCGTGGATTAGTTGGTAGACCGTCTTCCGTTCATTGACCACCATCACTGTGGATTCGAACAGGATGCGAGTTCGAGGACATGGTCCAATAGTTCTGCTTTTTCGTTTTTTCCCGGTTCGCTTGTACTTGGTTGCTGATGGACTTGAAAGGGGTAGAGGGAGGCTTTGTTTGAATTCAACGTGCTTTCTACCAGAAGTGCGAATATTTTGGGCAAAAATGTCGAACAGAAAAAGAATGGCAGCACGGTGGATTGAACACCGGACCTTCAGATGATCTAAACTTGACTTCAGTCTGCTGCTCTCCCAGCTGAGCTATGCCGCCGATGTGAGAGCGTTCCAGGTCGCACCCCACTCCGTGGGACCACGAATAAGGTAAAGCCTGTGATGAACGAAACAAATTTCTGGACTTTATTATTTCCTCTTTAGACCTGGATGCACCTGCTCTGCCGCGGGCGGGCAGCGCCTCTCTCGCGCCTCGGCGTGCGGCACTATAAAAAACACAAGGTCAGAATCGGGGGTACGGGCCCCGAGCAGGTAAAACAGGGCCTCGGCGGGGCGCAGCGCAATAAAAGGGCGATCGAGTCGGCGCGCATGCAGCTCGCCGCGCTCAACTCCCCCGCCCCAGGCACTCAAGCTACGGGCCAGAGTGCGCAAGGTGGGACACCGCGGGACGCGCAGGGCCGGCCGATCGTGGCGCCGAAGGAGAAGGGGCTGGGTGCGTTTCGCGCGATGGGCGCGACGGCGTTGACGCATCCCATTTTCGAGAGTGCGGGCCCGCCGGGGCGGGTGGAGCTGGATGTGCCGGTTCTGGAGGCGGGTGGGCTCGCGGGACCGGGGGGGTTGTCGCCTGGGTCTGTTACACGGTTCCAGGACGAAGACCCAAGCAGCCCGTTGAGGGTGTATGGCGTGCCAAAGAGTATGCTGGTCGAGGTAGGCCCGTTTCCTTGTCTTTTTCTTCACCTTGCGTAGAATTGGCGCGCGTTTTTTGCCCATGGGACGCTAAAAATCTCGTGGACAGTTGGGAGAATATTAACATGTCTATTCGCCCGTGTTTCCTCCTGCCTGTTTCTATGTCCTTGGCTGGGACGTTCATTTGGACTTTTTTTTCGCGTTTCGCGAGGAGCTATTCTCCGTGTTGCTTCCGTTCCGCCGACGCTGCTGTTGGATCTACTCGCAGGTCACGCACGGAGACTACTCCTTAGTGGACGGCTGCTACGAACTAGGAGCCGTCCTCGAACCACCAGACTGGAGGCGCGCGCGGGGCGTTCTTGGACTTTTTTACTTTTGGCGTTGCGCAGGACTGCCGCGACGAGGCGCGTGCTGCTTCGTTCCGAGTGGCATGGGCGCACCAGCCAAGGTCCACCCGCTCGTGCATGGACGCAAATTGCTGGCCGGGGTAATAGTACACACGCGCGCGTCCTTCTGTCTCTTTTCGTCTTCATCTTCTCGTCGTTCTTACGCTAATATACATGCAGTTCCGCATCCTCGGCGCCCCCGTCTCCGTAATAACCTCCACCACCCTCTCCCTCATCCGCCTCCTCCACGAAGCCGGCCTCCCCGTCCCGCCCTCCTCCCATCCAGATTCCCCCCCAGACTCATCCTCCCCCGACTCCCCCTCGCCCCTCCCCCACGCCCCCCCCACCGCGCGCCCCAACGCCCGCATCGTCCTCAACGGCCGCCCCGGCACCGGCAAGTCCTTCCTCCTCCTCCAGCTCGCCTCCTACGCCGCCGCCCTCCGCACCCCGTCCGGGCACCGCCAGTGGATCGTCATCTACCTCCCCCGCACGCGCGCGCTGCTCGACGGCTCCACGCCCGCGGTGTACAGCCTGCAGACGCAGACGTACCAGCAGCCGCGCGCGGCGTGGAACTTGCTCAGCCGGATCGGACGGGCGAATCGCGAGTTTTTGGAGGTGCTGGGGACGACGCGGGAGTGGCGGTTTAGTGTTGCGAGTGCGAGTGCGGGGGCGGGGGCGGGTGTGGGTGGGACGGCGACGGCAGCAAGTGCGAGTTCGACGTCGACGGCGAGCGGGGAAGCAAGCAGCGGCGGCAACCCAGGCCACCTCAAGCCCGGCACGCCCCTCACCGCGCTCATCGACCTCGCCATCTCCACCGTCACCCCCGACTCTGCGTCCCCATCGACTGCTTCGTCTTCGAATAACGCAGATTCCACCGCCGCGCAACAGACGATCGACCACGCGCTCGCGCCCGCGCTCCTCGACGCGCTCCTCACCGAGCTCTCTTCGCAAACCCAATTTCCGGTCCTGCTGGCGATCGACGACTTCCAGGCGCTCGCGGCGGGGCGGAGCGGGTATCGCGACGCGCAGTATAAGAGCATCAGGCCGCATCATCTAGGGATGGGAAGGGTGTTGTTGGAGTTTGCGGGGGGGAGGAGGGGGTTGGTGCGTCGTTCTTTCCTTCACATTCCTCATTCCCGCTTCCTTCCTTCCTTATTTAAATAACTCGTAAATGATGTGATGTTTATTGACGCGACGTTGCAGGCCCGCGGCCTCCTCCTCGCCGCGCTCACGCGCTCCGACCCCGCCTTCCCCGTCCCCCCGCAGCTCGCCGCCGCGCTCTCCCTGCCCGACGAGTTCACGCCGAGTCCGCGGAGCGTGCGGGAGCGGCGGAGCGCGCAGCTGGCGAGCTATTTGGAGGGGGAGGTGGTTGTTGATTATGGGAGTGGGGTGGATGGGAATGGGGAAGGACTGGGTGGGGAGGGTGAGTCGTTTTTTTAGGTTTTTGTTTGTTTGTTTTGCGATTGGGAGGGTTTTTTGAGGCGGGGCGGGCGTTTTTTTGCGTCTTTCACTTCCGTGGCATTTATTCCCTCCCCACTGTTCGGCTAGTCGCCTTTATCTTTTATCTTCCTCCCTATCCTCTTTTGTCATCTTCTTACTCCGTATTGATCTACTTATGCGCCGTCCGCCTTTTACGTACCCGCTTCCTATCTCCTCCTTCGTACTCACTTTCCTTTCTTTCACTTCCCCGTCCATTTATTCTTTCATTCCTCCTTCTCTTCCCCCCATCCCTTCCTGCGTCTCGCTAACACCCTCCCACAGACCAAATCCCCACCCTCCCCGAGCCCTGGACCGGCTACCGCGTCTACGACCCGCCCGTCTTCGAAGACGCCCCCGCCCTGCGCCCCACCGCGTCCGACCCCACGCCCGTCCCTCGCCCCGCCGACCTCTGGCGCGGCGCCGTGCTCGAGCGCGATTTGGAGGAGGATGACGAGCTCGAGGAGGGGGAGGGGGAGGGTGCGTATGAGGACCCGCTGGGGGCGCTGGCGGCTGTCGGCGAACCCCCCGTTGAGGGTGCTGCGGAGAGCGCCAACGACGCAAACGCAAAGGCAGCGCCCGGACAAGGACAAGAGGACCCCGACCTCGAAGACGGCGAAGTCGACCTGGCGGGTGGGGACGCCGCCGCGCCAGCGCCCGTCTCGCAATCTCAATCTCAAAAGAAGAATAAGAAGAACAAGAAAAAGGGGAAGGGCGCCGAGCAGCAGCAGCAGCAGCAAGGCGGGCAAGTGGTGAAGGGGAAGAGGAGGGAACGCGCGTTGCGGGCGGTGAGGGTGCCGGATGCGTTGTCGGTGCGCGAGGCGGCGGCGCTGTTTGAGGTGTGGTTGGACGCGGGGGTGTTGAGGACGGGTGAGTGGTGTTTGCTTTTTTTTTTGGCGGTCGGGCGGGCAACGATGATGCGTTTGTCTTCATTCGTTTTCGACGAGCTTTTACATCCGTTCTTCCTCTTCCACTCCATCACTGACACGTCCTCCAGGTGGCGAACGCCGCACAGCCCGGCGCGCTGAGCTTGGCGCCGTAGAAGACTACACCGCCGAGCGCGCCACCCTCGACGCCGCTACCGCCGCCGACGCCGAGCTCGCGGAGGCGGAGGCGGACGAGACGGTGCAGGCGCTGCAGGAGGAGTACGAGGAGCGCGTCGCGGCGTTGGAGGAGGCCGAGGAGGCTGAGATGGACGCCGCCGAAAGCGAGGGCGAGGAGGAGAGCGTGAAGAGCTTCACGAGCAGCTTGACGCAGGCACTTGGCGTGCAGGAGCAACCGCAGGCGGCGACGCGGAGCTGGATGACCCCGTCCCCGGCCCCCACTCCTGCTACTTCCACCCCCGCTGATGGTCTGACGACCGACGCGGACGCCAACGACGTGGATCTGCCCCCCGAAATCGCGGTCTTTCAAGAATCGGCGGAGTCGGCGCTGGATATCCTCGGCCTCGAAGACACGCTTGTCGACGAGCCCGAGTTTGATGATGTGCGGGTGATGGAGCAGGCGGTGGGTGCGGAGGGGTGGGGCGTCGAGAAGGAGGCGCAGAGGCGGGAGGAGACGGAGCAGGAGATGGTGGAGCGGGAGGCGCAGGCGGCGGAGGTGATCGAGGAGATGGAGACGGAGGAGATGGCGGCGTATGAGGCTGAGGAGGGTGTGGAAGCGGAAGAGGGCGTAGAGGGTGTCGAGGGTGTCGAGAGCGTGGGCGAGAGCGAGGGCAAAGGCGAGGGCGAGGGCGAGGGCGAGGACGCGGTGGTGCATGAAGGGCTTCATCCGGAGGGCCCGATGGCTCCTTTGCAGTCCGTTTACTTCATGGGCGAAGATGGGTTGTCCATTGACGCCGTGGGGTTGGAGGATGCGGAGGGGACTGTGTATCTGGAGCGCGAGGATGGGGAGTATGAGGTTGTGGAGGTGGAGGAGGGCATGGATGTGCGGTATGCCAGCGAGGTCGACGCTGAGATGACCGAGGATGAGGAG